TTTGTAACTTTGATATTAAACTTTGATTGCTGGTAACAGTAATGAGTACGATATTTGTTCACATCTGTATCAAGCAATTGATGGTGGAGCAGACTAACTTGCCAGAAGTTACAGTTCATGACCCAAAATTGCAACACACCAATCTCATGTAGATTTACTCAGCAAGCACCATCTTAATTAATGATTTCACCTGTTATCAATTACCATCGGCATTGTTAGGTTTACCATCTTAGTGAAGGAGCGAGACTAATTAAGCTCCAAAATAATAAAATATTGCACATTCTAATTGTGTAGCTCAGTCTGGAATGCATTGGTCTTGTAAACCAGGGGTTGTGGGCTGCATTCTTACTGTGGTAAAGTTGATTTTTCAGTTTGCCTGGTATAAATTTACTCAGTGTAGCAACATATTAGTAATTTCTCCTGTGTATGATTACCATCAACATTAGATTTAACACCAGCCTTGTATCTTACAATTCAGTTCTTATGTACTTGGTGTAAAAGATTTTAAGCAATATAACTTGTAGAAGTTATATTGATTAATTGTTTTGGCAACACAGCATATTGTCCAGTGCACATGGTTAAAGATGCGCTACCTTCAAATATTTTCTGTTCTTCTTTTTAGTGTTGGAAAGTTCACGATTGGCAAATTTCAAGCTGTAGTAAATGCACAACCTCAAAAACAATTTTTGTATCTTTCATGATGTAGTCCAGAAAGCAATTTGTTGGAACATGAAGACCTTCAAATGTGTTTTCTGTTTGATCAAAGGCCTTGAAGAAACAAAACTGCTTCCTGTTATCATCTAGGTCATTACATTGGATGGCATTTGTGCATGTAGGACAGTTGCAGATCTTAATAGATTTATGGATCTAAACTCAAATTTATGGAACTAAATTATATGGATTTATGGAACTAAAATCAAATTAAATATGGATTGATAATATGGATAAAAAATATGGATTTATGGAACTAAAATCAAATCAAAGTGTTGTTTACATTTTTGGGGTTGTACAACTTGTACATAGTAGAATACACTAGATGTTAAAGTTTCATTTACTTGGTTCCCTTTGTAAAAAACAACATCCGATTTGTTGCAAGTTGAAACCAGTTTTATTGCCTGATATATTTTACTCTGCCAACAAGTCTTAATAACTAAGGGGCTATTTACATGAGCCTGACTAGTCCTGTTAACCGAGGCAGCCAGCTTAATACAAATCATTTAACAAGAATCTGCCAAGCCGAGATCTCATTTGAGTCAAAGGGGACGCCCGGATAACCAGGCTGGAATTTGCCCATGTAAAGTCACCAGCGGCTCATGTAACCTGGCTAGCCAGGCCTTCAGCCTGGTTAACCGGGCCAGCCTACATGGCTACCCGGGCTCATGTAAACAACCCCTAAGGTGATAGCAACAATAATATACTTGGTGCTAAATGTAACATAAACTTGAGTAACAGAGAAAATTCTCATCAGATTATTTTCCCCTCATTGTAGAGTAAACTGTTAATATGTATCTTAAAAACTAGAGTGTATATTAGAATCTCACAGATTTATAATTTAAACTGTCATTAAGATAAATCAGGTCTTTTATTGTCTGTTTTGTAAATGAGGTTCCTTGATAATGTCAAAGGAAGCCTTGTCAGTTGTGACTTGACACACTTGTGATACCAAATTTGTAAAGTCACAGCTAAAGGATTTTAATAGGTTCAAGTTAATATATTATCCCTAAAATTTATTTTAGAAGAAGAAGTAGGTCTAGCAATTTCTTTCATATCGCAATATTATTTTATACGATTGCAGGCCAATATGCCAAGTTGAATTACACTGTATTGAATAGTTGATCACAGATTCACTGAAGGTCCGATGAACTGGATTTATTTCCTTCATTCAGGGCCGTCCTCAGGAAATTCTTCAGGGGGGTGTAATAAGGTCAATTCGACCGACTGGTTCAAAAAAATTTTTCCGGAACAAAAATTCCCCCCCGCCCGTCTGTCAGTGTACCATTTTAGGGGTCCAAAATTTTTCCGGACGTACAAAAATTTTCCGGAACATTCAAAAATTTTCCGCACATAACAAATTTTCAACATTTTTTTACATTTTTCCAAAATTTTTACATTTTTCCTCAAAATTTTCCTAAAATTCCCACCACGTTCTTACACTTTGCGCCAAAAATATTTAACCCAAATAGCAGTTCTACCGACTGAATAGCAGTCCTACCGACTGAAAGCAGTCCTGCCGACTGAATACAACACCCCCCCCCCCGTGGCTCCGGGCCTGCCTTCATTGTTATGGCATTCACGTCCTTAATCTTTTTGTACACCATGAAATATCACCAACTTATCACTCAAAACATATTTTACGGCGATCGGACTAACCACACATAAGCTATATAACTTATGTTTATCACTATTCGCCAAAGACCGAGGTGAAATTAATCGATGTATGACAATGGCCAAATTCCACGCTTAAATTCGTTTCTCATCCTCGTAGTAACAATTAAATCAAAGAACAACCTCTTCTTTATGATATTTCAAAGTATCATGAGTTTTGCTCGGATACATAAAAAGCTAGAGCACTTTTAGTGGCTCTATTTCGTATTCCGCCATATTAACTCCTATAAAATTTCCTCTGGTTTGGTTGCTTTCAACATGGCGGCCACACCGGAAGTCGGCTCACATTCTGGCACACTTTACCCTTGAGTGAACCTTCTGCCCTTATCTCTTCTGTGACCATTACTAACTAATCGCCCGCTGTAGCGGGCGATTAGTTCTAATCGCCCGTTACCAAGGGTCACACCTTTGTCTCCCTGACGACTACGCATTAGGCAAGTGCCTCACGCACATAATCGTGCAAGGAACAGCAACAGTTAGCTCAGAGCCGTCAATAGTCTATCATCCGATCCCTGAGTTGCCGCATCATTTAAATTACGCACGTGCAGTCTCCAATTTTATACTAATATAGACCTTATTCATAAATCGTGACGAGGCCTCGTATCCTAGGATACGGGGAAAAAACGCGGGAATACAAGCGAAAACTGCTTGACAAGCCAAATTCAGGTGCTATATATCGACTTCAACGGCTTGTTTCTTGTTGCCTTTTGCGATTTATAACATTTTGTGTGTATTTTAAGACTTTGTGCCCACAACGAAAGCGGTAAACGAGTATATTATAAAAGCGACCGGTTTTTCTCCCGGTTTTGTGTGGGAAAAATGACAACATAGCGACAGTGTTTATCCAGAAGCGAAAAACAGTATTTTACTGAGATTTTAACGTCAATATAAAGGTTATTCCGTGAAAAATCAAGACAACTATAGAATGAAAGTATAATTTTTCGAATTTGACATTAATATGAAAGAAAACAAGAGGTCAAAAATCACAAGAGAACGTCAAATGTCATTAGACGGTTTTAGATAACAAGACGCGGACGTCAAGAGGACGTGAAAATGACGTATGCACCTCGCGTTCACTTCCGGGTTTTAATCTGGGACGGCTTGTTTGTCTTTTTCGAAGCAAATTTTTGTTTTCTTGTTACCTGCTCATTTCTGTATTGTTTTCAATCAGTTGTCAAGATATGTGCAAGAAAAGGCTATATAATACTGGCCATGTGTTTCCTGATGAATTAGTATGGACATTCAATAATTTTGTTTTGGAAAAAAGTTATTTTTTGGTATTTTGAAAAGTGAACTTTGTTGCATCATTTGGAATAAATACAACAGCTGCAGGTATTGTTTACGAGCTAATTGTAGCCTATTCAATCAAGTTTGTCAACTGTTCAGTATAAATATAGCATCAGTGTTTATATTGGTAAAATTTAATACTGTTTACGATAGTTTTTCACGCTGGAAAGCGTTTTTTTGCTTGTGGACTGTTGTGACAGAGCAACTAAAATTGATTGAGTTTTTACTGCTTTTAAGTGCTTTTATTTTTCTATTTTCCCACGTTTTCCTGATTTTAAACAGTTGTTAATATAACTTCAGTTTAGTTTCAGTTCTAAAATATTTGTTTTGGTGAAGATTACTAGCGATGAAGTGGTTATTAACAATGCTTGCAGTTTTGTTGATTTGTTTATGGCGACCGAAAGTATTTGTCGAAAATCAACTCGTCTAAAATTTAGCGAAATATAAGAAAAACAACCTTGTCAATGGAAAAACTTTAGCTAGTATCATTAAACAATACATGGGGAACAAAATAGGATGATTTTTATTATGTATAGTCTCATATTTTTTTCAAAAGAAGCAAAAATCTGTGACGTTCTAGAGAGGACGTGAAAATTGTATTTTCGCGTCGTGAAATCGCCCAAGACGACGTCGCAAACCAGAAGCTGACGATAGTTGGCGCCAAATGACGACATCCACGTCCTCTTGACGTCCGCGTCTTGTTATCTAAAACCATCTATTGATTCGTACGGGAAGATATGAACTATGGCTTTGGCTCGATAACATTCTGCAAGCAGCTTACGAGTTTAAAAAATGAAGGCTACATTACCTGAGTTGTAATCTTGTTTCTTCAACAATAGTTTCATATTTCGTACGATTTTGGTGTTGTATAGACGTTTTGTAGCCTTGTTGGTTGTTTGTTCTGGCCATACAAACTATGACAATAATACAAAGTCAAAGGTTTCCTTTTTCGATTGACTCCAGCATCTTTTGCTTTAAATATCATGTTATATTTTCTCAGAAGTATTTTTTTCAACTTTCAAACTCAGTTTTATAGATATTATTTTCGAAAAAAGCCGTAGTATTGATACCCTGGGTGCCAGAGGTTTTTCCACGCTCGCAACGCAAAAAAATATAGTGACGGACGGGCGAGCGGGAAAAACCTCTGGAACCATGCACGCTATTTTACTGTTTTGTTTGATCTCCCGCTAACCAATCAAAATGTGTGAAATATTGTCAGAAAGGTCAAGGCAACGCCTTTCAATGAATGGATTTTTTCTAACATACTGTAAACAAAGTTGTCAATTTCACAAAGAGATTTCATAGCGCGATTTTAGCTTCGCTTCTCAATGAGTTTGCCTGTCACACCGGTGAAAATTATACGAAAACGCTTACCTGATCATTTAAAGTGTCGGGTTTGTGGAGAGTCCGTATCTGTTCAAGGAGGACTTTATAGAATTTTTGGGGGGAAAGTAAAAACGCGAGATGTACATAAAATGCTTGAAAAGCTTCTCGGTTGTTTTCTTAGCGAGTCTACTGGTTCGCCAGTATTATGCAAAAAATGTTTTCGTAGATTGGAACGCTACGAAAGTACACTTGAAGAAATAGCAAAACTGAAAGAATCCCATCGGAAAAATTGCGAAGAATGGAGTTCCGAAAATATACGGCGCAAAAGATGTGTGAACTCGCCTGGCCATGGTGTGAAGAGGATTTCTTCAGTTCCGCAGCGAAATATACAAACTGTGAGGCGTTCATTATTACCAGCTGATAATACAACTACATCAAAAGTGACAAATAAGGAAAACACTGTGTTGTCAACCTCTAAACCTTTCAGTTTGGAGGTATGAGTTTCATCGTTTATATATTTACAAAAGTCAAGAACGTAATGTTACAATTAGCACATTACTATTTATATTATATTATATTATATTATATTATATTATATTATATTATATTATATTATATTATATTATATTATATTATATTATATTATATTATATTATATTATATTATATTATATTATATTATATTATATTATATTATATTATATTATATAAGATAATACAATTAGTCCTTATTGAAATTTGTTTTTCTGTTTACTAGGTCCTTTTAAATTATCCCTCCGGTGTAGTGAAAAGGATTCCCAAAGACGACATCGATCAAAAAGTTATAAAGCAAATTGTGCTGGGAGAATATTCGTACGCGGTTAATGCCTTATGGGAAAAGAAGGAAGTTAAAGAGCATATTCTAAAAAAAATTTCGAAAGATATTTCTACTGAATGTGATGGACTGTGTTCACTAACTAATCCGTCAATGCTTAGAATTTCTTCATCCGAAGCTCTTAAATGTTTCGACGAAAAGTCTCATGTGCAGGAAATACGCGAAAGGAGCACCTATCCTGGCTGCCATGGTAGAGGCGGCAAGCGTGACGAAAACAAAGTATAAACACGACAAAGGCCAAAATATTGGTGTTGATGTTCAGTGTGCGCAGTCTATGGCTGTTTCGACGCTACTTAGGTCAAGGTGTTTGGCAATGTCCACACAAGCATACAGAGTTGCTCTTATACTTTGGAACAGTGGCGCGAAAAAGCAAGTAAGTTTTTCTGTTTCTACTTTCGCATGCTTGGCTTCATTTTTACAAGATTGTGGAGGCTTCTGTACTGTATGGTACACCATTTGTGTATCTTATTATGACTATTACCCCATGTGCCATAGTCTTTTTCACGCTTGCAAAAAACCCCGCAGTTATAAGCATTGATGTATTTCATCTTTTAACGATATATTAACGAAGTCAAGCAGTAATATATTATGCATGAGTCAATGTAACCCCC